GGCAGCCGTGCCGAGAGCCGGGCGGAGGCGTTGTCCCCTCAGGAGTCTCTGTGCCCCCATGCCACTACTGTGGGGCCAGCCTCAAGCGAGGGGGCCTGCACTGGGACCTGGCTCCTGGGTGATGGCCACGAGGGCAACCAAGATGGCAGGTGGCCCCGTGGGGATGTTCCTGCTGCCCGAGGAGGCAGGCGCACCCAGGCGGGTGGGCAGGTTGTGCCGCCTGTCTGCTGGCCGGGGCCAGGGGCGTCTCCCCTCGCAAGTGCGATGTGGAACCAGGCGGTGTCAGTCAGTGCAGCTGGCCCGAGTGGTGCTGCTGGGCGGCACCGGGAGGATGAAACGGAGCTTACCACGGCCCAAATCTCTGCTGCTGACCCCTCTACAGATGTTAAAAAACTCCCTGTGCCTCCACTGGATTTGATCAAGGAGATTCAGGAACAAAGCAGCTGCCTGCGCCTGCTGGTTACGGAATATTTCGTTGCTACATTTTCATCGGTTTCAGTTGAATATGAGGAAGAACTTCTTTACTTTGAGGGTGACAGAGCACTGGAACAGGCTGCCCAGGGGCATTGTGGAGTCTCCTTCTCTGGAGATAATAAAAAACTGCCTGGATGATGTCCTGTGCAACCTGCTCTAGGTGACCCTGCTTTAGCAGGGGGGTTGGACTGGGTGATCTCGGAGGTCCCTTCCAACCCTTGCCATTCTGTGATTCTGTGATTAACCCGCAGCAATAAACACCTTCATGCTGGGGCTAGTGCTAGTCACAGCTTGAGTGCCACCACATTTGAGGCAGCTTGGGTCACAGCTGCGTATGCACCTTCTGCGTGTCTTTCTGATGCACCTGACACCCAGAACTAACCCTGCCTGTGGGAGCTGCGCTGCCCAGCCCCTGGCAGTAGTCTCGCTTTGGTACCATCAAGCTCTCTCACCTCTCGTAGCCAAAATGCTGGTACTTCAACGCATTGGGTGAATGTTTCTGTTGAAGCCATCAGCAGTGAAACCAGGACATTTCAGCATGTGATAAATGACCGCCAGCATTAGGTTTCAGAATCGAGATAGGGCACCCCAGGCCAATCTTTTTGCTTCCTGAAGGGCACATACACGTTATTCTACACCGTACACTCATGTAAAAGGTTAGCTTGCAGCAGACAGGGGGAACCGCGTATTTTCCGCTATAAAAAACCCACACAAGCTCAAGCAAGGGCTGCGGGGAGCAGCCCTGGAACGGCAGCGTGGATTTGTACCAAATGGCTTTGCCCCAGGATCGCGGCGCTCTCCGAACACGATCAAAGTCCTCGTTTTGCCCTGTCTCCCTTCGAGCAGACTTGGCGGAGGGGACGGCGGTCGAGCCTCCCTGCAGGCCAAAGCACGCCGGCGCCAGCGCTCGCTGCAGGCCAAAGCACGCCG